TTGTCTGTTATTCGCTAGGTGAAGGAATCCTGGTTTTTTTTCTGGGTAACAAATCTTAAAGCAATACTCAAACCAGGGATATTGCTCTGTAGTTTTATTTTCTTGCATTATCTTTGCATATATATATATGTATATCAATATTTGCATATGCATACACACATATTTTAGATGGGTTTATATATATATATTTTAAATATTTAAATATTTATTTATTTATTTAGTTTTTGAGATGGAATTTCACTCTTGTTACCCAGGCTGGAGTGCAATGGCATGATCTCGGCTCACCACAACCTCCGCCTCCTGGGTTCAGGCAATTCTCCTGCCTCAGCCTCCTGAGTAGCTGGGATTACAGGCAGGCGCCACCATGCCCAGCTCATTTTTTGTATTTTTAGTAGAGATGGGGTTTCACCATGTTGACCAGGATGGTCTTGATCTCTTGACCTCGTGATTCACCCGCCTCGGCCTCCCAAAGTGCTGGGATTACAGGCTTGACCCACCGCGCCTGGCCTATTTTATTATTTATTTATTTATTTATTTTGACGGAGTCTTGCCTGTCACCCAGGCTGGAGTGCAGTGGCGCAATCTTGTCTCAGTGCAACCTCAGCCTCCTGGGTTCAAGCAATTTTCCTGCCTCAGCATCCTCAGTAGTTGGGATTACAGGCATACACCACCATGCCGGGCTAATTTTTATATTTTTAGTAGAGATGGGGTTTCACTATGTTGGCCAGGCTGGTCTCAAACTCCTGACCTCAGGTAATCCACCTGCCTTGGCCTCCCAAAGTATTGAGATTACAGGCATGAACCACTGCGCCTGGTACTTTTATATATTTAACTGCAAGTTTATGTAAAAAATAATAACTGTTTAGCAAGCAGTTCATTAAATTTCTGAAAATTTCAACAGTGGATTCTCATGAGCCAGTGTGTCTATCACTGGCTAAACTTTGCATGTCTTTTGCAATTTTGGCCACAGTGAACTGAGTCAATTTCTCATAGCAATAGAACAGGAAATGAAGGGTATATATGTCTGTAATTTATTTGGCAAAAAAAACAGAAAACCAGAACAAATACCAAGCTGTGAATTATTTCCCATATGCCTATCTAAATGCATTCTTAACAGCATAAAATTCAGTCCTTTTTAATGGAAGGCACTGTGTACTTATCTTTTTTTTTCCTGTAAACATTAGCCTGAGTGAATACTGTACTACTTGCATATCTCATTTAATCGCTCAACAATGAACAGTTAAGTACTATTTTTCTCCCCATTTTAGACACAAGTTCAGGGGAGGTAAGTGACTCAGGCAAAGTCACACAGCTAGCCAGTGAGACAGCCAGGATTTGAACCATAGCTGCCTGGACCTCAGTGGTCATCTGATCACACCTTTACTCTTCTACGAGAGCACATGACATAGTTAATAAATATTTGTTGAATCATTGTGCTATTTGTCCATTCATCTATTGCTTCTATTTTCAAACTTTAAAATAATTGCAGAACACTTGTTGAAGGAATTCTTAGATGAAACACCAACATATAACATAGATAAAAGTAGATCTGCTCTGCTGAGCATTAGTGAGGGATGTGAAGTCCCCTGCCTACCTATCTGTAACATAAGATGCATTAATATTCATGAAAAAAGCCGGGCACAGGGGCTCACACCTGTAATCCCAGCACATTGGGAGGCCAAGGTGGGTGTGAGGGACTGTGTTAAAGAAACTTCTTTTCCCGGGTCTACTAGGAGAGGGATTTCAAATGCAGGAATTTCCCGGCTCCCCGGCTCCCCGCTGGAGGTGGCTGGGGCTCTTTGAGCACCTCCTCCACACTTATATCCAGAGACCAGAGGGGTTTCAAATGCAGGAATTTCTCAGCTCCCCACCTCAGGCAGCTGGGGCTCTTTGAGCATCTCCTCCACCTGGGCCAGGTAAAATTCTTTGATCTTCTTGAGTGTGGGAAAGCCAGGTGGGGTTCTTTTGTCCCAAAATCTCGTGGAAAACTCTGGGAGGAGGGGGCTCTATAGCTCAGGGTTGTAGAACAAGTAGCCTATCTGGTATCAGAGTTAAAAAGTTTGAAAGAACTCATTGGACGAGAACATGAATGGGGAGGGAATAATCAAGGGTTAAAACTTTAGCTGCTCCTACCTGAACTGATTTCCCGCTCTGGGTTCCCCTCCCTCGCACAACAGCGTGGGATCTGTCTTCTCTCTCTCTCTGTTTAATAAATCACTCTTCCGCAAAACTCTTTGGGTCCACGATTTGGAGGGTAAACTCACCGCGCCTATGGGGCCCCTTTCCCCATTTTTCCAGGTTAGAGAGGCCAAGCACCTACGAGCTGGGTACCCCCCAACCACCGTAACCAGTGGATCGCCTGAGGTCAGGAGTTCAAGATTAGCCTAGTCAACACGGTGAAACCCCGTCTCTGCTAAAAATACAAAAATTAGCCTGGCATGGTGGCATGTGCCTGTAATCCTAACTACTGAGGACGCTGAGGGAGGAGAATCGCTTGAAC